CTTTAGTTAGAAAAATATATATTGTTTCCAACTTGCTTCAAGGACCTCATGTCTGGGACACACTGGCCAGTCAAGAACCCATTTAACTCTACTCGCTCTGTTCACACCCCCTCCCCTCCTACCCAGAGAGTTCCTGTCTAATGATAAATAATTCCTTTTAAGTAAATCTGCCTGACAACCTATGACTTAATTCATGTAACCCATGTATCCAATCTTGTAATAACCTGCTACCAGCTTTGTACTTCCCACTTGCAAACTGTATTTAAACTAAATTCAACCTGGTTCTTGGCTGGTGATTTGAACTTCTGGGTTCCCCAGCCTGCTAGAGTAATAAAAGTTGCCTTCTAACTCCTCAGTGCAAACAGTCTTCCGTTTGGTTTGATACTGGTTTTCTGCAACACTGTCAGGTATGATGTCATCAAAATGAGTGTGGGTAAACTGGCATTGGGCAGAATAATAAGTTGAGACCTAAAGGAGTAGAAAGAACCACTGTACAAGGAGAGACTGAAGCAGTTTGCAATGACAAAGACAGGTGTTTCACACAACGATGACCTCACTCTTGGCCCTCACTTTCTGCTAGCCGTGTACTGCCATTAAGTCCTAAGTAAACTCCTGTGTGCAGCCACTGCTCCATTCCTGGGTGTGTGACATTTACAAGGAGGAGGAGGAGGAAGTTCTCCTCTTAGACCACTCAGAACACATCTGGTGACTTCATTTAATTCTGGGCTACAGAAGGATAAAGATATATCGGGGATTCTGAAAAGTGAAGTTCCTATAATGGTGACATCATGGTCAGTGACCAACGAGTCAGAGAAACTGGAAATTTGACCTACAGGAGAGAAAACCGAGCCATGCAATGGTGATGCAGCATAAACAGCTCTTCATGAAGACTGACTAAGCCCCAAATGGCTGTGAGGAGCTGATGGTGGAGACACGGGTGACTCAGAGAGAAAACATGTGACTCACCCTGTCGGGGCGGTTATGGCATGGGTGCCCCATGGTAGTAGACGGAGGTGCTTGTCTATGAGCCAGTGCTGCTAAAGAAGACTTTGAACCTGATGGAAGAGACTAGACACCATGACTCTGAGATTCCCTGTCTGTCCTCAGACACATGTGAGCCTAATAAACCAAATTAGAGTGTGCTTATAGCACTCCTTCCTTCCTAGCCAGTTTCTACTGCTGCCCTGTTTCTTGGTTTCCACAACCTGGACTCCTGGTTGGACCTCCTAGGGAGCTTTGCATGGCATCTAAGTTTGGATTGTACCCTGGTTTTGAGGAACCTTAATACAGCTTCTTGGTGAGGTCCTGAGCCTTTCCGCTGGCAAGAGGGAAATGAAGGAACAAAAGCAGTTTCCAAGTTATTGTGGGACAAAGACCTTGGTGAGCACCATTATGGGGTATGAGAGCTGCTCCACTATGCCCAGAAGATCTTGTATCTGGGGAGAGAATGTCCATGAAGAGCACTGGGGAAGAGCCCTCTTATGATTCAGAGAGGTCACTATCATTTGCATTGATTGACCGTTTTTCCCCTTGTAATGTGTGTGTTTATGTTTGTGTGTAAAGGAAGGATTTAGACCAGCAATCTCACGATTTCTTTTAGTACTTTAACAGTTTCATTTCTTCCAGTTGTACTGAGATGTAATTGACAAAAAATTGCATATACATAAGGTATATAATGTAATCTTTTGATATAGGCCTGTATCATGAAATGATTACCACAACCAAGTTGATTTGTATTAGTAGCAATGCATATCATCAGCATGTGTGTGGGGAGAATATTTAAGATCTACTATTTTAGCAAATTCTAAGTGCCCAACACAGTATTATTAACTATATTCACCACACTATACATTAGATCCCAAGAACTTATTCACCTTACAAGTGGAGGTTTTTACCCTTTGACCAGCATCTCTCCATTTTCTTTACCCTTGACTACTGCCTACCATCATTTCACCCTCCATTTCCATTAATTCAGCAGTTTAAAATTCCACATAGAAGTGCAGTCATACAGCATTTGTATTTCTCTGACACTTCATTTAGTATAATGCCCTTGAGCTTCATTGTGCTATCTCAGAGGACATAATTTCCTTCTCTTTATGGCTAGTAATATTCTTGGGTGTGTATGCGTCACATTTTCTTTACGCAGTCATCAATTAATGAACACTTGTGCTCTTTCCACATCTTGGCTGTTACAAATAATGCTACAGTGAACACAGGAATGCAGACATCTATGCAAAACACTCATTTATTTGGTTTTCTTCAGATATATACCCAGTATTGGGATTACTGGATCCTATGGTGGCCTCATTTTTAATTTTTTGAAGGGTCTCTGTACTATTTCGCATAACAACTAATTTAGATTCCTAACAAAAGGGTTCACTTTTCTCCACATCCTTGCCAATAATTTTTAACCTTTGACTTTAGACAATAGCCATTCTATCATACACGAGGTGATATCCGGTATTTTCCTGATGATTAACAACATTGAGCACTTTTCATATGTATCTGGTGCCTATATATGTCCTCTTTCAAAAAATGCCTATGGAGATCCTACACCTATTTTTATTCAGTTTCAGTTTTGTTGTTTTGCTATGAATCCCTGACATACTTTGGATATCAACCCCTTATTAGATGTAAGATTTGTAAATGTTTTCTCTCATTCTATAGGTTGCTTTTTCATTCTGTTGACTGATTCCTTTGCTGCACAGAAAATTTATACTTTGATACAGTCCCACCTATTTGATTTTGCTTTGGTTGCCTGTGATTTTTTTGCTGTCAGATTGAAAAAAGAAAAAAAATCATTGCCAAGACTGATGTTGTCCCCCTATATTTTCTTCTACTAGTTTTGTGGTTTCAGGCCTTACGCTGGCGCGTTTCATCAATTTTTAGTTGTTTTGGATGTAGGGTAAGATAATGCTCCAATTTCATTCTGCGTGTGTAGATCTAGTTTTCCCACAATGCTTCTTAGACTGTAATTTTCCCGTTATGTCTAACTGGTGTTTTTGCCATTCTCAGTTGGCTTCATGTGAATGGGATTTCTTTCTTTTTCTATCTCTTCACTTTCAACCTCTGTGTGTTCTTAAAGCTAAAATGAGTTTCTTGTAGGCAGCATATCATTGAATCTTGCTTTTTATCCACTGAGCTTCCTCATGACTTTTGGTGGAAGAATTTAGTATGTTGTAGTCAAGGCAATTACTGATAGGTAAGGACTTTACTACTGGCAGTCCTTGACTCATGACAGCTTCACTTTTATTTTTACTTTATGGTGGTGTGAAAGTGATAGGCATGTGATAGAAATGAAACTCTGAATTTTGATCTTTTCCTGGACTAGCGATGTGCTATACAATACTCTCTTGTGATAGTACTTCCCCAAATCTAGATGCATGACAAAATTGCGTAGAACTGCATGTACACATGCATGTTCACACAAGTGCATTCAAACTATTAAGTCTCAACAGATGTGGTGGATTTTATCAATGTCAGTTTCTGGAGTTTGGAAGGTCCTATAGTTATGTAAGAAGTAGCCAATGGGGAAACTCACTGAGGGGCACATGGAATTTTGGTATACTTGTTTTCCAACCTAATGTGAACCTATAGTTATTTCAAAATAGAATGTTCTTTAATGAGGCTAGTTGGAGGTAAAATTGAGCATGCTTTTATCTACCAGGCACCTTTATCTCATTAAATTACCATGACAACCTGGATAAGTGGGTATTGTGATCCTTTCTTTAGGGAAAAGCAATCATAGATTGAGAGAATTTAAGTGATACATCTGTGTCCTTCCATCATTCCTATAACAAAATATTGAAGCAGGCTACTTATTTATCTGAGTTTTGAAGGCTGTATATCCAAACAACCTTGTGCAGTACCTTCTAAGTGTCTCCCCTTTGGCTGTGTGATTTTGGGCAGATAGCCAGTGCAGGGGCATGTGTGGGAGAAAGGATCATATTTTGATCAAAGAAACCAGAAATAGACAAAACGGAGCCTGGCTCAGGATTTTATAACAGTCCTCTGTCAAGAAATAGACAGGATCCCACAGGAAATACCTTAATCCCTTTCAATGGTAGGGCCCCAGTAGATGTCAGACTTCCCTCTAGGCCCTATGGTCCCACACATTCTCCCAAATCCACCACCCTGGGGACCAGGTCCCCAATATGTGAACCTCTGGGGGGAAAGAACCAACATCCAAACTCCAGGAGTGGCCAGGATCATGATGGTATGCAGCACAGAGTTTATCTCCAATCCAGTTCAAAGTCAATGGGCTATCTTCTGTACTAGACTTCATCTGTTCAAATTGGTTTGAATCAATTCATAACGATTTACTAAGGACTTTTTTGTGGTAATTAAAATCCAAAGCTCTCATGTTACATACTTTAGGGTTAACTATCTCTGCTTCTAAACCTTGTTTTTTCCTATTTCTGCTGTGACAATAAATTCTGCTTTGAATAAATCTCATTTATGAATCCCAATTTAATCTTTTTTATTCTAAGGTCTCCTGATAACATGTAATCTGAGTTACAGAGAAAAATAAATATGAAATAAATAATTTCATATTTAGACAGAAATATGGATAAATAATTTTATTAATAATAATAATGAGAGATGAGGACTTTTAGAGTCTTTGGATGCTAAAAAGTTTTATTAGGAAACATCAAGCAATTACAAGTGAAAATGAGAAAAACATGAGAGACAAAAAAATTACACTTGGAACATTTGGGGTCTCTTGTATTCTGAACCAGAACTGGGAATTCTAACACAATTGGATGTAGAATTTGACTATGAATTCTAGTTCGGCAGTAACAGAATATTTTCATAAACTGCATTAAATAATGCGAAGGCCAGAGTTTTGCATATGACTCCATGGATTGCTTGTAAGCTCGTGGCCTCAGAAAGTCCCTGTGTTCTCTTGATAGATGCTCTCTGCCTGAAGCAAAGGATGAAGGCAGGAAGGTTCATGGATCCAGGTTGGTGCACTCGGCAGCAAGAACCATCAGAGCAACTGGGGTGGCAGCAGGTGGAAATGCAGGACTGGGGCCTACCACAGCTGGACACACAGCAGCTGGGGCAGAAGCAGATAGTCCTACAGCAGGTGGGTTGGCAGCAGCTGGGCTGGCAGCAGATCTCCTGGCCACAGCCCTGTTCAGAGAAGACAGAGCCACAACAGGTGTTGACTATGGTGTTAGTGGCTGGAGGTTTTAGATGGGTTTCCAAATGAGAGTATTTCTTGAATCTGAACTCTTGCCTGGGTCTCCTTTTACACACTGCTGTGGGAGCCCTTTCTTACCATTATTCACCCAAAGAAGTAAGCAATTGCTGACTGAGGTAATTATGCTTAGTGTCTGCTCTTCCAAATGTATTAGGCTTTATCCCATTGACTCTGCCAGCAGCACACACATCCCAAGTGTCTTCCTTTGTGGTCATCATTTTGGCCCACATGCTCACTAAATATTCCAAACTAAATGGGAATATTTTCCTCACCCCACCTGCTCATTTTTCTGTGTCATCTCATCCATCTCTTCATCATGAATGTTTGAGGTTTCAGATAGTCCATCTTCTCCCACACAGGAAAGCTCTTGTCAAGGTGAACAGGTTTGAAAATAACAATAAGTAATACAACAACCATTGTAGATTTCTTATCATCCCCTGTTTTGAAATTCTGTATCATTTTTTATAGTTTTTGTTTGTTTTATTTTTGTTTTTGTTCTTTTCTCTTTATCTTAAACAGAAAAAACTAACAAAATAACAGCAATGAAGACAAAAACAAAAACAACACAAAAACAACAAAAAATGATACATGACCTCTAAATAAAATGATAGGAATTAACAGTGGTTGCTACATTACATACTGTTGTCTTCAACGAAGTTGCTCAGTCCACCAGATGTAAATATGCAACACTGAGCAAACAATCAAAGAAAATAACAAGTAATTAAAAAAATGGGAACGATACAGAGCTTCACCATACAAGAAAATAGGAATCTAACAATGGCTCTTATATTGCATATTGTTTTCTTCATATAAGTCATTCTGATTACAAGATACAAGCAGGCAAAATTGGTCAAGAAAATTTTAGGCATTAACTGTTCCTTTCAATAAACCACAGACATCAGCAATACACCTATCGCAGCTATCCTTGTATATACATATAAAATTTTTTTTCATTTTAAAGAGAAAAGAAAAAAACAAAATAATGAAAACAAATACATAAACATGTTTATAGCAGCACAATTTGTAATAGCTAGATCTTGGAAACAACCCAAATGTCCATCAACTGAGGAATGGATAAAAAAGATGTGGTATTTTTATACAATAGAGTATTACTCAGCTATAAAGAAAGATAAACTAGAGGTTTTTACAGGTAACCAGATGCAACTAGAGACCATACTCATAAGTGAAATAAATCAGATTCACATGTGTAAACATCACATTATCTCCCTACTACAAGAACCTAAAAGAGTAAAATCTGAAGGGTTCAATAGATATTGTGAATGGGAAAGACACTGCTCAAATAGGAAGGAGCAGCTGGGATGAAGAAGGGGAGAGGAAAAAAAAGGAAGAGAAATATATATATATATATGTACACACAAGATAGCTAAGATAATTGTACTACTAATTTCTATTGGTTTATTGAAAGGAACAGTTAACGTGTAATTGTTTGATCAATCTTACATGCCTGTATCTGGTTATCTGAGCAACCACTTTGAAGATAACATTAGTAATGTAACAACCAATGTTAACATCCTATCGCCTTATTTTGAAATTCTGTATCATTTTTACTGTTTTTTATGTTCTTTTCTCTTTAAAGAAAATTGAAAAACAGGTTGCCCCGGTGTTAATCTTCCCTATTTGCAAGTCAGACCACATCCACAGACTTTTTGAGCTTTCCTTCTGATTAAAGACTTTGTCACAAGTCCAGTAAGACAATGCATCTCAGAAGACAGAATCTTAGCCTGAAAGGCAAGGTAAAAATCCATCGGTGTGGTCAGTTGTAGCCAAAAACAGTGGACAAAGATAAAAGAATCCCCAGAACACCCAGACTATTACCATCCTATTTCCTAGGCTTGAATACATAGACAGATTTTTTCCTTCTAAAAGGCAAATATGTATTTGGGATGAACGTAGCCCTTCAGGAATCACCACTGGAGTTGCTAACAGTACTTATACTACTGAAAACATTTATATTTATATAAAAATAAAATAAACTACAAATTTGATTACTTTTTAAATCATATAGGAAAATGCTGATGTAAATAGCATTAATTACTATGTAATTAATAATTGGCAGTTAATTAAATTCGGTTGGTAAGATTATGAAATGTAATTATTTCTGAATCTTTCTCTTTGTTTTTGACCTGTTATATAATGATTTGCTTTTCTTCTATAAAAGAAATTAAAATTTAGTCTTGTTTCACAGCCTTCACCATGGCCGAGGGCTGGGGCTTAGGGTGTTTCCAGATTTAGGGATGCTGGAGTCTCCTGGAGATGGTTTCTAGGTTCTTCCTGTCCTGAGCAAGGAATTGGTCAAGAGAAGCACAGGCAGCAGCAAAGTTTTGTTAAAGGTGGGAAAAGAAATGGGCTTTGCAGAGTTTGGGCCAAGTAAAAGTAGGAAAAGAAGTACCGTACACTACACAGTGTGAGGGCGGCCACCATGCAAGGGCAAATACAGTGGAAAAATTCAGTGCGGACCATTCTTTTTGTATCACCCATGCCCCAGGTTGACGTCAGGCCCAGGCCATCCTGTGGAAAACCTGCTCCAGTTCTCGGGAGAAGGCCACAAGCATGGCTTTGGGAACTGTCCCACACAAGTGTTCTGGCATCTTGTAATTCACAGGTCACACCTCCTTTCCCAGCCAGCTTTGGAGATGCCCTACCTTCCTGTCTCAGGGGCATCGCACACCAACCTGATAGGCAGCCAGCTGCATCAGTACAGCTGTCCTGCGCCAGATAGTAAAGCTGGGTTGGTAAAGAGTCACACCCTAAGCTTCCCAAGGGGTTCCTTCACACACAGCCCAGGGACCCAGCAGGAGTTAAGGCCAAGAACCAGAAAGAGGGCTTCAGGCATTGCTCCAGAGCTAAGTCTGGTGGTCATTCTGAGCAGCTGGTGCTCCTAAACTACTAGCTTTTAGATACGTTGGCTCTCACTCCTGCCATAGAACGCCGCTTACAGCTCTGAGGCGGCCCACTGTGTGCTTCATGAGAAAGCATTCCACAATAACACAGGCATTTAGACTGCTTAGCACGCAGGAAAGTGATGCCTTACGGCAGGAAAGGGGCTGTTGATGTAGTCAGAGACCACCCTATGGACAAAGGACAAACCCAAGGGCTTTTAACCTGTTATGCCTTAAGAGCATAATTTGTGTTTTCTTCTGGGGCAGGCAGGGACTTACAAACAGTTTTTGCTTAAAAAACAAAAGTAAAACGTTGACTCTTCACGTGAGAACAGAACAATGCTTAACCTTCGCCTGTATCTACCTTATTTATTACCTTAAAACTCTGGGTCAGATCCCTCTCGGCTCTGCTTATAGGCATGTTAACCTTTTAGAGTGTATCTGTCAAAAAGCTGGCAAAACAAGGTTGATTAGTCCTGCATTTACAGAGCCTATCCTATCTTCCTTCAAGACCAAGCACACCAAGGTAAGAGATTACAGAGATACTCAGCTACACTCAGAATTCTCCAGTCCTGGCTTTAAACCTATGAACACCTTGGGTTCCAGCAGAGCTTCCACAAAACTGAGACTTCCCCAAGCAGGATCATCTTAGAGAGATGAATTGTTTCCTCCAACAATAAGGACTTCTTGGACCTATCTTGGCAAAGCAAAGCTGAGCTCATGATCAGACCCTAGCCCACTCCAGCAAATCCAAGAAACCTGGCTTTGCTCTTTTGTGAATCGGCCAATCTGATCCTCTTCATCAGAAAGAGGCTATGAGCTAAAGTCCCTTCCCAATTTTCTCTTACTTTCTAATTGCCTAATAAATCTATCTATGCCCCTTACTGACCTGTGCTGAAATGCTTTTCTGTGACAAGAGTCCATCAGCCTCTTCCACAGGTTATGGGAGAACTGAGGTCCTCATTTCCTTTTTGGAAGGAAATCTCTCCCATTTTCTTGCACTTTTGTGACACTATGAACTGGAAGAGGACACTATGAACTGGAAGAGGACACCCTAGTCTTGGGCAGGAAGGCTGACTCAGGAGTAGGGGAGGTGTAGACCTTCCCTGTTCTCCATAGTTTCTGTAGTAATTCTGATGCACAGCTGGAGTTTCAAGACTCCAGAATGAGAGGTCAAAGTTGGACATGGAGCTGCAGCAATTGGACAGTGTCAAGATGGAAGCACAGGTACATGTAAACCACCAAAATATGGAGCAAACTGATCTGAGAGTCAAGAGAACAGAGAATTAGGAAGACCTCAGGGAGTCTGAGTATGAATGTGGACACCTCCCCAACCCTCTCCTCCCAGCTCACTCTAGCAATAAAACCAAGTGTCCAAGCTCTGGCCTGAAAGACGTTGGTCCTCACATAAAGCTCCCTGATTTAGAGTTCCCACCAGAGGGACTGGCTCCTAAATCACCCGATGCTGGGAGTGGCCGGGTCTCATTCACCAGTGCCCTGGGGAAAAGCGGTAGCTTGAATGATGCAGGCAAGCCCTGCCCATACCACCTCACCAGCGCAAAACAGACAACAACAGCTGGTCCCAGTTTCCCCCTGGAGGGAGTTAGATGAGATGCTGTCTTGGCTTTTGTCCGGGCTCACGCTTCCCATCAGCCTTCCTCTGGGAAACAACCAACAACGTAGGTAATTAATAAGACTTCTACTGCACCACCCCAATAAAACCCAGGCTCCAGCCTCTCCCAGGGAGTTTGACCACATACCAAGCACTCTAAATTTTATAGCTTCTATCAAAGGAATGGCTCCTAAATTCCCCAGCTCTGAAGTGGATGAAGCTTTCCATTTGAGAGTCTCCATGGACCCAGAGATCAAAGAGGTGGTTTCAAATAGGCTGTTTCCTCTAGCTCAGTGCGGAGCTAGAGTCTCACTGGAAGGGACTGCAGGTCTCTCATGTCCTGACTTTGCCAGCTGTTGTCCATGGGTCAGGCTCTCAATCAGCCTTCATCTTGGAACTGATG